TCAAGGCTGCTTTGGGTCGGGGTTTGGATAAGGTCACCCCTTGTCGCCCTCAGGGGATGGTGTTAATGACAGACTGTCAGCACTCAATCTGTGCAGACTCTCTGTTCAGGGCTGTGCGGCAAGAGTGATTGAACAGGAATGATCAGTACATCGAGAAGAAAGATGTTGGAGGGAGCAGAGAACCAGTGGGCAAACTGGTTTCCCAGCTATTACACCAACCAGTGGGAAAACTGTGTAATATCTCAGGCGGTCGAGTCTGACCAGAGCCCAGGGCCGAGCAGTGATGTAAAGCTTGTGATGGAGTTGGGGCTGGTTTTGAGGTTGTGGTTGGGCTGGGGGTGGCTTTGGGCTGTAGTTGGACTGGGGTTGGTCTGGGGGTGGTTCTGGGGGTTGGGGATGGGTTGTTGTTGCATTAGGATGGACATGGGGCCTGGGATTGGGGCTGGGTCCAAATGCAGAAACGGGCCATTCGGCCCACTGGTTTATTCCGGTGTTTATGCTCCACTTGACCCTCCTCCTGCCCTTCCTCAACTAAGCCATCAAGCATAACCTTCTATTCCTCTCTCCCTCATGTACCTATTTAGCTTCCCCTTAAATACATCAATGCTATTTGCCTAATAACTCCTTGTGAGCATTTCCACATTCTCACATCTTCACAGAAAGGAGTCTCTGTGAAAGAATTAATTGATTATTTGTGACTATTTATATTGATATCCCTGGTTTTGGTCTCCCCCACAAGTGGAAACATCTTCCCTATGTCGACCCTATCAAACCTTTCATTAGTTAGTTCACCCCTTACCCCTCCTTTTCTAGAGAAAAGAGTCACAAGTATGTTCAGCCTTTCCTGATAGGTATAACTTCTCAGATCTGGGATCATCCTCGTGAATCTCCTTTGCACCCTCTCCAGGGCCTCCACGCCCTTTCTATAATGTGGGGATCAGAACTGCACACAGTATTCTAAGCGTGGGCTAACCAAGGTTCGGTTGGTTTGGGGTTTGGGCTAGTGCTAGGTGGGGTTGGGGTTTGGGCTAGGGCTGGGTGGGGTTTGGGCTAGGGCTGGGTGGGGTTGGGGCTGGGTGGGGCTGGGGCTGGGTGGGGCTGGGTTGGGTTGGGGCTGGGTGGGGCTGGGTGGGGCTGTGTGGGGTTGGGGCTGGGTGGGGCTGGGTGGGGTTGGGGCTGGGTGGGCGGGACTGGGTGGGGTTGGGGCTGGGTGAGGTTGGGGCTGGGTGGGGCTGGGTGGGGTTGGGCTAGGTGGGGTGGGGGCTGGGTGGGGTTGGGTGAGGTTGGGGCTGGGTGGGGTGGGGGCTGGGTAGGGTGGGGGTGGGTGTGGTTGAGGTTTGGGTTAGGGCTGGGTGTGGTTGGGGTTTGGGCTAGGGCTGGGTGGGGTTGGGCTGGGTGGGGTTGGGGCTGGGTGGGCTGGGTGGGGTTGGGGCTGGGTGGGGCTGGGTGGGGTGGGTGCTGGGTGGGGTGGGGGCTGGTGGGGTGGGGGCTGGTGGGGTGGGGGTTTGGTTTAGGGCTGGGTGGGGTTGGGGCTGGGTGGGGTGGGGTTGGGTGGGGTGGGGGGGTGGGGTGGGGCTGGGTGGGGTGGGGGTTGGGTTGGGTGGGGTTGGGTGGGGTGGGGTTGGGTGGGGTGGGGCTGGGTGGGGTGGGGGGGTTGGGGCTGGGTGGGGCTGGGTGGGGTGGGGGCTGGGTGTTGTTGAGGTTTGGGTTAGGGCTGGGTGTGGTTGGGGTTTGGGCTAGGGCTGGTGGGTTGGGCTGGGTGGGGTTGGGGCTGGGTGGGGCTGGGTGGGTTGGGGCTGGGTGGGGCTGGGTGGGGTGGGTGCTGGGTGGGGTGGGGGCTGGGTGGGGTGGGGGCTGGGTGGGGTGGGGGTTTGGTTTAGGGCTGTGTGGGGTTGGGGCTGGGTGGGGTGGGGGTTGGGTGGGGTGGGGGTTGGTGGGGTGGGGGCTGGGTGGGGTGGGGCTGGGTGGGGTGGGGGTTGGGTGGGTGGGGGTTGGGTGGGGTGGGGGCTGGGTGGGGTGGGGGGGGTTGGGGCTGGGTGGGGCTGGGTGGGGTGGGGGCTGGGTGTGGTTGAGGTTTGGGTTAGGGCTGGGTGTGGTTGGGGTTTGGGCTAGGGCTGGGTGGGTTGGGCTGGGTGGGGTTGGGGCTGGGTGGGGCTGGGTGGGGTTGGGGCTGGGTGGGGCTGGGTGGGTGGGTGCTGGGTGGGGTGGGGGCTTGGGTGGGGTGGGGGTTGGGTGGGGTGGGGGTTTGGTGGGCTGTGTGGGTTGGGGCATGTGGGGTGGGGGTTGGGTGGGGTGGGGGTTGGGTGGGGTGGGGCTGGGTGGTGGGGGGGCTGGGTGGGGGGTGGGTGGGGTGGGGGTTGGGTGGGGTGGGTTGGGTGGGGTGGGGTGGTGGGTGGGCTGGGTGGGGTGGGGCTGGGTGGGTGGGTTGGGGGGGCTGGGTGGGTGGGGGTTGCGTGGGGTGGGGGCTGGGTGGGGTGGGTGCTGGGTGGGGTGGGGGCTGGGTGGGGTGGGGGCTGGGTGGGGTGGGGGTTTGGTTTAGGGCTGGGTGGGGTTGGGGCTGGGTGGGGTGGGGGTTGGGTGGGGTGGGGTTGGGTGGGGTGGGGGCTGGGTGGGGGTGGGGGTTGGGTGGGGTGGGGGTTGGGTGGGGTGGGGGTTGGGTGGGGTGGGGGTTGGGTGGGGTGGGGGCTGGGTGGGTGGGGTTGGGTGGGGTGGGGGTTGGGTGGGGTGGGGTTGGGTGGGGTGGGGGCTGGGTGGGGTGGGGGGGTTGGGCTGGGTGGGGTTGGTTGGGTGGGGGTTGGGTGGGTTGGGGCTGGGTGGGTGGGTGGGGTGGGGGTGGGTGGGGTGGGGGCTGGGTGGGGTGGGGGCTGGGTGGGGTGGGGTGGGTGGTGGGTTGGGCTGGGTGGGGTGGGGGTTGGGTGGGGTGGGGTTGGGTGGGTGGGGGCTGGGTGGGGTTGGGTGGGGTGGGGCTGGGTGGGGTGGGGCTGGGTGGGTGGGGCTTGGGTGGGGTGGGCGGTGGGTGGGGTGGGCTGGGTGGGGTGGGGGCTGGGTGGGGTGGGGTTTGGTTTAGGGCTGGGTGGGGTTGGCTGGGTGGGGTGGGGGTTGGGTGGGGTGGGGTGGGTGGGGTGGGGGCTGGGTGGGGTGGGGGCTGGGTGGGGTGGGGGTTGGGTGGGGGTTGGGTGGGGTGGGTTGGGTTGGGGTGGGGGCTGGGTGGGGGTGGGTGGCTGGGTGGGGTTGGGTGGGTGGGGTGGGTGGGGTGGGGCTGGGTGGGTGGGGCTGGGTGGGGTGGGCTGGGTGGGGTGGGGTTGGTTTAGGGCTGGGTGGGGTTGGGGCTGGTGGGGGGGGTTGGGTGGGGTGGGGGTTGGGTGGGGTGGGGGCTGGGTGGGGTGGGGGCTGGGTGGGGTGGGGGCTTGGGTGGGGTTGGGTGGGGTGGGGGCTGGGTGGGTGGGGCTGGGTGGGGTGGGGGCTCCGCGCCGGTGGCGGGGTGGGGCTGTGTGGTGGGTGGGGTGGGGCTGGGTGGGGGCTGGGTGGGGTGGGGTGGGTGGGGTGGGCTGGTGTGGGGGCTGGCTGGGGTGGGGCTGGCGGGGCTGGGGGCGGGCCGGGTGGGTGGGGGCCGGGCCGGGTGGGGGCGGGTCGGGCGGGGCCGGCGGGGCCGGGCCGGGGGCGGGGCGGGGCTGGGGTGGGTGGGCTGGTGGGGTTGGGTAGGGGGGGGGGCTGGGTGTGGTTGTGGTTTGGGTAGGGCTGGGTGGGGTTGGGCTGGGTGGGGTGGGACTGTGTGGGTGGGTGGGTGGGGCTGGGGTGGGGCTGGGTGGGGTGGGGCTGGGTGGGTTGGGCTGGGGTGGGGGCTGGCTGGGGTGGGGGCTGGGTGGGGTGGGGGCTGGGCGGGGCTGGGTGGGGTGGGGCTGGGTGGGCTGGGGCTGGGTGGGGGCTGGGTGGGGCTGGGTGGGGTGGGGCGGGTGTGGGGGTGGTGGGCCGGGCGGGTGGGCCGGGGGTGGGGGCCGGCGGGGGCGGGCTGGGTGGGGTGGGGGCGGGGTGGGGGTGGGGTGGGGCCGGGCGGGGTGGGGGCGGGGTGGGGGCGGCGGGGGCGGGGCTGGGTGGGGGGGGCTGGTTTGGGCTGGGTGGGGTGGGGTGGGTGGGGTGGGGGCGGGGCTGGGGTGGGGCTGGGGCGGGTTGGGTGGGATGGCGGCGGCTGGGGGCCGGGTGGGTGGGGCTGGGTGGGGTGGGTGCTGGGTGGGATGGGGGCGGGTGGGTTTGGGGCCGGGATGGGGTGGGTTTGGCGGGTGGGGTGGGGTGGGGCTGGGTGGGGTGGGCCGGGTGGGGTGGGGCTGGTGGGTGGGGGGGTGGGGGCTGGGTGGGTGGGGGCTGGGTGGGGGCGGTTGGGTGGGGTGGGGCTGGGTGGTGTGGGTGGGGGCTGGGTGGGGTGGCCGGGTGGGGTGGGGCTGGGTGGGGTGGGGTGGGGCTGGGTGGGGGCTGGGTGGGTGGGGGCTGGGTGGGGCGTGGGGTGGGTTGGTGGGGTGGGGGCTGGGTGGGGTGGGGTTGGGTGGGGTGTGGGGCTGGGTGGGGTGTGGGTTGGGTAGGGTTGGGCTGGGTGTGGTTGTGGTTTGGCTAGGGCTGGGTGGGGTGGGCTGGTGGTGGGGTGGGGTGGGGCTGGGTGGGGCTGGGTGGGTTGGTGGGGTGGGGGCTGGGTGGGGTGGGGTTGGGTAGGGTTGGGGCTGGGTGTGGTTTGGTTTGGGCTAGGGCTGGGTGGGGTTGGGGCTGGGTGGGGTTGGGCTGGTGGGGTGGTGGGGTGGGGCTGGGTGGGGGCTGGGTGGGGCGGGTGGGGTGGGGTGGGGCTGGGTGGGGTGGGGGCTGGGTGGCTGGGTGGGGGCTGGGTGGGGGCGGGTGGGTGGGGTGGGTGGGTGTGTGGGGGTGTGGTGGGGCTGGGTGGGGGCGGGTGGGGCGGGTGGGTGGGGTGGGGTGGGTGGGGTGGGGTGGGTGGGGGCTGGGTGGGGCTGGGTGGGGGCGGGTGGGGTGGGGTGGGGCTGGGTTTGGACCTGCAGCCCTCGTGGCTCAGTAACCAAACGTTGTCCTGTCGGTGTGTGACGAGGGGCTCTGTGCTGCCTCCCAGGTTCCTGTCATCGCTCGGGTGACAGCTGTGTTGTCAGATCACCGCTGAATGACTCGTTCCTTTGCTCATTCCGACCCCTCGAGATCCTCTTCCTCCTCCTCCCCGGTGCGGCCCCCACTGGCCACCTTCCTCACCAGCTGCAGCCAGCGCTCCCGCTGCTCTGCACTCTCTGCGATGAACGTGTAGACTTTCTTGGACTGGGTGATCTGGAAGCCGAAGCCCGCGTCGGTGTTGGCCGATGGACACGCACTGTAGCCCAGCAGTGGGATGGAGGTCTGAGCCTTCACGTCCTGCGGACAAAGGAGAGCGATGAATCCGAGCTTTCGCCCTCGACTCCTCAGATCCCCACAAACATACAGAACATACAGTGTGGGTTAAACAGAGTAAAGCACCTTTCCACCCTCTGTCCAATCCTCCCAGGCCAGACACATTGTGCATGAGTTCCGACAGTGTCTACACTCGAGAGCACTCGCAGCTCAGACAGTAAAGGACAGGGACACCGTTCAAAACCAACCTGCACTTTAATCACACAGCTCTGCACACGGGATTGGCAACATGATAGGAGCCATACACATTGATTATTTCAGCACAGCATCAGCTGGGATCACTCACCCTGGAGCATATTCCCTCTCCATAACATCAACAGTTTGTTGTGATGTGATGAGGCAGCAGATGAAACAATTTTGTGATATATTTTTGTTAAGAAGTTGGCAGGATTTGATTTGAGGCCTGTGCTGTGCTGCCCTCTATCATGCCAAAGTGTGTGGGTTAGTGTTAGGGTTCAATGCCTCAACAACAACAACTTGGATTTATACAGCGCCCTCCATGCCGGATGGCGTCTCAGAGTGCTTTACAGTTTAGGATCCCGGGACCGAGCCACGGGGAGGGGGAGGGGGAGGGGGAGGGGCCGGGGGTGGGGGGAAGGTGACCAGAGGTGCGGTCGAAAAGAAAGATCTTCAGCAGAGACCTGAAAATGGGAAGAGAAGGAGTGAGACGAAGGAAGTGAGGAAAGCAATTCCAGAGCCTCGGGGCATAGTGGCAGAAGGCGCGGCCGCCGAGGGTGGAGCGGAGGACTCGGGGGACAAGGAAGAGGCCAGACTTGGAGGAATGAAGGCAACGCGTACTGTTTTGAGGAGAGAGGTCAGAGAGGTCGGGGGGGGCAGAGGAGTGCAGGGACTTGAACACGAGGTGAGGATCTTGAAATCGATCCTCTCTGGGACAGGAGACGGTGCAGTCTGGCCAGGACTGGGGGGATCGGGGAGTGGGGTTTGGGGGTGGGGAGGACGGGTGGGGCCAGGACTGGGGGGATCGGGGAGTGGGGTTTGGGGGGGGACGGGTGGGGCCAGGACTGGGGGGATCGGGGAGTGGGGTTTGGGGTGGGGAGGACGGGTGGGGCCAGGACTGGGGGGATCGGGGAGCGGAGTTTGGTGCAGGTGAGAATGCGGGCGGCAGAGTTCTGAATGAGTTGGATTTTATGGATGGCAGTGGATGGGAGACCGGCGAGGAGGGCGTTGGGAGTAGTTCAGCCGAGAGGTGACAAAGGCATGGACCAGGGTTTCAGTGGCTTTTGGGGAGAGGTATTGCCGGAGCCGGGCGATGCGACGGAGGTGGAAAAAGGCGGTGCTGGTAAGGGACTGGATGTAGGGGAGGAAGGATAATTGGGGGTCGAACCTGACGCCTAGGTTGCGTACGGGTTCGGAGAGATTTAGGAGGAGGTCAGGTAGGTGGAGGAGGTGACTTCAGCAACACAGTCATCTCCTAATAACTCTACCCCGGTTTAACTTGTCACTACCACTTAAGTCATCATTGCTGTCAACATCCCAGCCCCATTTATCCCGGTGCCTAACCCACCACTCTGGATAACACGTCATTAAACCCTTTTCGCTTAGAGTGACAAGTTGTCAAAGAGTTTCGCCCACAAAATACACAGTCACTACACTTTACAGTATATTCTACGAAGCATCTCAACCGTGCAATAATTATTATTATATTGTTATATTATGGAAAAACACATCCTTTATAAACATAGTCTGTGGTTATCAAATCTTTTTTCACCTCAGCAGTAAGTTTTTAAAAACTGAATGTTAATTTTATGCTGTCTGCCTTTAATAAACAATAATAATAATCCTTGCATTTGATATGGTGCCTTATCACGGCGAAGGCACATCTCAAAGCACTTCACAGGATTTACTGTGAAATGCAGTTAACTGTGTATTTCGTGGGTGAAATTACGCAGCATAATTGCACACAGCAGTGTCCCGCTAGCAGCCATGGAGTGAGGGACCAATTTTATTTTGGGGAGTTGTTGGCCAGGATATCGGGAGTGAGAAACTCTTCTTTACCCTAGAATATTCCAGTCAGCCCATGAGTCACTAGATATGATCAAAGCTAGTCCTGGTCAAAGTCACTAATGACGTTCTGAACATCTGTGATCAGGGCTCCCTCTGCCTCCTTATCCTCCTCGATCTCTCTGCCGTCTTCGAGACTGTCGACCACTCCATCCTCATACACCGCCTCTCCTCCTTACTTAATCTTCACTGACCTGCCCTTGCCTGGATTGAATCCTATCTCTCTCACCGTCTCCACTTTGTTGCCTCTAACGGTTTCTCCTCCAGCCCCCGCACTGTCACGTGTGGCGTCCCCCAGGGCTCTGTCCTTATCTCCTCTTTAATATCTACATGCTCCCCCTCGGGGACATCATCCACAGACATGGGGTCAACTTCCACATGTACGCGATGACACCCAACTCTATCTCTCTGCCCCCACCCTCAACTCCAGGGCCACTGCTGTCCTGACACTGTCTGTCGGACATCAAGTCCTGGATGAGGGCAAACTTCCTACAGTTGAATGTGAACAAGACTGAGGCCCTCCTGATTGGCTCACGGCAGCGCCTCAGGACCTCAGGCTCTGGCAGCATCGCCCTCCATGGTGTACACTACAACTCACCAGTCAGTCAGGAACCTGGGGGTCTTGTTCAACCCTCAACTGTCTTTTCTTCCCCACATTCAGGCCATGACCCGCTCTGCCTTCCCTCACCTCCGTAACATCGCCCGACTCCACCACTACCTCACCCCTCAGGCCACTGAAACTCCTGTTCATGCCTTCATCACCTCCAGGCTCGACTATGCAAACGCCCTGCGTGTCGGCCTTCCCAACTCCTCCCTCCACAGGCTGCAGATAATCCAGAACTAACTCTGAAGCCCATGTCCTCTACCGCACCAAACTCCATGACCCCATGTCCCTCATTCTCACCCAACTCCATTGGCTCCCTATCCTTCAGAGGATCCAGTTCAAAATATGTTCTTATGTTCTTATGACCTCCTAACCCCCTACCAACCCACCCGCTCCCTCCGCTCAGCCGGCTCTGGCTGCTCCACGTCCCCGACCCACCATTGGTGGGAGAGCCTTCAGCCACTCTGCCCCCAACCTTTGGAACTCCACCCCCCAGTCACTCCGCCTCGCCCCCTCCTTAGCCTCCTTCAAGTCCCGCCTCAAAACCCTCCTCTTCGACCATGCCATCAGTCACCCCCCTTCCCCTCACCCCAACCCCCTGACCCCAACTCAGGTGTGAAATGCTGTCACTGTCCAGTGCCTTGGGACGTCCTCCCGACGTGAAAGGCGCTATACACATGTAATC